TAAAATAACATGTTATTTGAAATAATATTTTAACTAATGTTATTTGAGACGTGATCACAGGCATGGAAATAATTATGAAATAAAATAGCATATTATTTGAGATAATATTTCAAATAATATTATTTCAGACGTGATCACAGGCATGGAAATAATTATGAAGTAAAATAGCATGTTATTTGAGATAATATTTCAAATAATATTATTTCAGAAATGCCTAAGTCTGATTGTGACTATGTAAAATGTGTCTGACAAATTGTATAATATACAAGGTGAAGTGACTCGCTGATATCAACACGTTCACTGTTTGGTGGTCACCGATGTTCGACCCTGTTAATCTCTTAGCGCGTGCTTTCCTTGAAAAAAATCGTCCATAAAAAATCGTTTTTTTATTCATTGAAGTCTTTATTTGAATCTTTTTGTTTACAATACTTACACATATCAGGGCAAAAAATAAACTATTTAATCGAAAACAATGATTTTATTTTTTTACATTGTAGATGTAAAATGTAGAGACAACAACCACAATGGTTCTAAGGACAACAAAGAACGAAACAAAAATTTTACCGTATCAGTTGTACCGCAACGAATGGAACGGATTGTTGAAATAATAGCAGTCGTAAATAAAGCAAACTTTTGAAAAGGCGCTTTCCCGACGCTTATATGTATCTATCGATGGGTGTGGACGTGAATAATCACGACATTCAGGCTTACGAAAAGTTTAAAAACTGATTACAAATTAGGTTAAATTATGCAAATACTAAAATAATAATTTTTCTCTTATACAATCGTGACTTTCTTGAGATTATTTTAATCGAGTTGACTCGAGTGCCCGCGTTACGGGGTTAAGTTGCACAAAAAAACATTGAATTTCCAAACAGGCACGTTTAACATTTTACAAATATAATTAGTAGTAGAATAATAATGAAAGCTATGAGTGTTCAAGTCAATGTCTAAATACTTATATTGTTAATAATAAAGACATAAACAAATATATGTTATTATGATACTGCCCCAAGCGGAAAAACTGTGACGTTTAACGTGTTAAGCCGTATTATTTCGAAATATTAAATTATTTACACTGCTGTTAATTCATAATTGATATAAAGAGTTTATATCCACTTTAACTAATTTATAACTAATTTAACTCGTCAGAACTTGTGACACTTTTTTCTCACTTCGTTGATCACCGATAGCTTAAACCATTAACGGTGGAATTTTGTTTTGGAAATGTATAGCCATTTGATTTCTTTATTCGAATAAAAGAAATATACTTTTCAATTTTTACTAAAATGTCAGTTTTTATAGAAAAGATATTTTATTTTTTCGCATAACAAGTATAGCATATGTCAATGGTCATTTCTTCATGACGAGTATACTCATCAATAACCGGAAGGCTTGCATATTATACAGCATGTTCGCTTATACTAGCTGAGTTTTATGGTATCTCTTAAAAATTAAGGGTGTTTTTGTTTGGGTCCAATAATATAAATAAAATTCTTCTACTTGTAATTTTTTCTTCCAATGTCGAATCTATCCTCTATGTGTTTTGAATGCCTCGTTAATAAAATTTCAACCGATAACGACGTTAATTAAGAGAATCTTGAAAGGATCAATAAGTAATCATGAACGGTCACAAAAATGAAAATGCAAGAAAAATTCTCATGTGTGCGTTTTCATGTTCTGGAAAAGCGTACAACTTTTCAGTGGTTTAAGGAAGGTAGTAGGATACAAAGTCGAATAGAATAGAAAATGTTCGTTAGATAGATATTCGTTATGACAGTACATGTGGCCACAAAGAGGACGTGAAAACGGTGCTCAAATCATGAGACCCTTTTTGCGACTTTTATTTTTGGGGTGCTGTGAAAAGAAATCGGTTTACACGAAATCATTCGAAAATAAAAAGGACTGTGAGATTACATTTTTAGCAGCGAGTAAAAATGTTACTACAGATGTTGCAACAAATACATGGGTAAATTCGCAAAAACTTGAAATTTTCAACAAGTGAATAATGATGGTCAAACTAAACATTTTTGATAATTATGTATACTTATTACTAATTAAATATACTCTTTCATAAGAGGCTATTTTTTAAATCATTTGATCTCCCCCACCATAATAACTAATAAATTAGAGGAATATTATTTAGCATTTAGATCTGTTCTGTTTTTAAGTATAAGAAACGATACTGTTATACGTTACTTTGATAATAATTTTATGATATGATAATTATTCTCGAAACACAAAAATATTGTAACTAAAGGAAAACTGCAATGTGAATTTTACACATTTAATTGTATGTAATTGATGAAAATTCCCACGTTCGATTTGAAATTTCTGATGACTATCCCTGTTACTGTCTGCATTCACAATAAAGTGATAATAATATCAATCTACTTAACCTATTGTTGGAAAATTACATTACACGAACGATATTTAGTAGCCATTTTGTCAGAAACTGTTCATTTAACAAGCCGTTTCCTCCTTTTCTTCGGTCTCGACATAGTTATCGTATGGACCGAGTCGGAGGTACTTTTCTCATTAACACTGTCTTTCACTATGACAATCTCACTTTATAGCACAGTTTAATGCATATGTGCCATATTATTCATATGCAAAACTGGAACTATTCAACTGGACAATTAAACGATACGTTTGTTAATTGCAAATAATTAGAGAAAAAGTTTCTAATTTCGATTTTATTTGGATTTAATTTTCTGAAATAAATTAAAAAGTTATATAAGAATAGCTATATTAAAGTATTTTAGTTAAAACACATAAAACTCCGACGAATGTAATGGACCTGTTGTTAACAATAATCCAACAACGTCGCAAATTAAATCGAATTTCATTTTAAAAGAAACCAACCTATATAAAACCGCGTAATTAGTGGCGTCTATTCAGTAATGATCTTAACGTTTACTTACCGAAGGTTATTATAAGTATCAACGTCGTTAAAATTAACTGTCTGGCCATGGTGATTCCACTTCAAGATCTACGCCTGGAATCTCTTCGTTACCTCCCTTATCTTATCATCGGTAATAAAAGTGAGAAATCTGCAGAGATGTTGAGTAAGTAGAAAATATGGACCTGACCTTTCATTTATACACGTTTACAGTGTTAGTGTTCATTGTCTTAATGGTCTACGTGAACAATAGGATAATGTAGTAAAGCAGTTACTGTAAATATTTTGGTATTAAAATGCATAAACAAACATTAAGAAACTCTTTCGAAAAGAGAAATTAAACCCAAATTCTTATTCGCGAATTAAATAAAATCATAGCATGAAAACATATACTATAATATTCTCTTTTTACCTTCAGAAAATTTGTATTTTTTTTTTTTTTCATATTTAGCAGTTTGAATTTGAAAACGTTTATTCCTTTTAACAGATGATAGGGAATTAATAGAATTTTATAAATTATTCTTTATCTGTAACCTGCTGATTCAATAAAACGATTACACAATCATTCAATATACATTTTATTACCCATTATAATCTTGGTGCAGTATTTTTATTTGTCATTGAGAAGCTCGATAGCATAGTTTCGTTTTACAGACACCAGAGGCCGAAGTTTCACAATAATTTACAAGCCCCGTCCGTCTGTACAATGCACACGCGATACGTATATAATTGTATTTAATTACTTGATGCTTGCAACGTCGAGCCTCGATAAATACCCCATTGATCGCGGTACGCAATTTCAATAAATACAACTGTATATTCAAACACTTTTATCGTAGAATATTACACACGCGTGCTCGCGAGCACATCGTGACACGTACGCGATCGTTTCGACGCTCGAAAATCAGAAAACGTCGTCTCGAAGCAAATTGAGTAGAAAGTCACGCTTCCGTTCGTACAGTAACTGTTTTCGCGTGCTCCGTTTCGTGGCGTCGAGGAAGCGAGTTACAAATGGTCCTGGACTCGAACGAAATTTCAACGAAGAAAAATCGATTTATTGCGACACGAACTCCGAACGAGGTCATTTTGAAAATATTTCCCAAGAACTGAATGATCTTTCGTTGCGATTTAATGTGACAAATTGAAACTTATTCGATAACAGATAGAGACTTTAAAGGGTTAGCCCATCCTGACCTGAAAATCTTAGGTACCTTTGTAAACTTTTTCTAGAAATACGATAAAGTAAACTAGATATGAGTTACAAAGCCTGTAATATACATATATTTTGTGAAATGTACGAAAATATTTTTTCATACAAAAAAAATTGTGATCTCCGCAGTGGCGTCGATCACGGTACCTAGGTGTGAACTAGATCAAAAACGAGAATTTTTCATTTTCCAGATGAAATTCGCTAGCGAAGTACGTTAGTTTTGTGAAAATGGTGAACATTTGAAATAAAAACGATCGATTCTGGCCAAAAAGTTGCATACAAAACAATTTGTACGAAAAGAAAATTTGAAATGTGTAAGATATCAAAAAATCCTATGTAGATACTTCACTAGCGAATTTCACCGAGAAAATGAAAAACTCTTGTATTTTGTTTCAGTTCCAAATCTAACGACCGTGATCGACGTCACCGCGAGACAGTCAGTCGAAAAGATGCTCTGAAGAAGCAGCACCTACACCGCCATTTTGTATAGAAAAAAATATTTTTGTATATTTGAACATATAATATCTATTACAGGCTTTGCAACAATTTCCCTGCTTACTTTATTGTATTCCAAGAAAAACATTTACACAGGTACCTATGATTTTCAGACGATCAAATGTGGATTAACTCCTTAACCTTTATTCGGATAGAAGAGCCTCTGAGACTTTTTCATCATTGTAGAATAAAAAATATAATAATATATACAAGCAGTAATATATATGTAATGAATAATGATAATTTTCATTTTCTATTTTACTAAATAAATAAACTGAATTAAAACAAGTGAAATATTTTAGAATGATTCATTTCAGCTATTCTGTACTGAGAGCCTCCTCTGAGGCTCTTCTCCATTCTATCCTGATGAAGGTTAATGGAAAATTCCTCGGTTCTGTGGAAGTAAGGTGTACAGGAAGAATCAGATCTTCTCTTCAAATTAGGGGTTAATGAGAAACTGTTAGTGTTCGTTCTTCCGGTCGTCGTGCGGCCATGAAACAACATGGAACATCGATGAACAAATGTGTATAATGTGTTCGAGTTTTCGAATGCGCTATGAGATCGATCGTAACGCGTCTTCGACGGCAATTGTAATCAATTTAATAAGACTTTCGCACGTAAAGGGTTACGCGCCGTTGTAAATGGCGGCAAGAATTACTGTACCAAGGACGGATAATAAAACGTCACGGATTCTGGGCGTGAGGCCGATCGAACTGTTGCAAGCATCCTGCATACAAAGATCGCAGTGTTCTAGGCTGGACAGATCGTTGTTGAACTTCCCTTGTATCGCTTTGCAGGGATCGATGGTCTCCGTCTTCGCTGTCTGACAGCTTCTCACAATGACCTCGGTTTTGTTCACTGGTAACATATCAATCGAAATAGTTGTAAATGGAACGACAATATACGTAGGTGTGTAAACTAAGACATTTCACGCCACGTCTACCACCAACAAACCTTATGGCTAAATAGCCGACGAAAATTCTTGTATTGCGATTTAAAATTGCACTTTCCACAAATTTGCTATAAGTCCAAAAACAGTATCCGATACTTTGGTATGAGATTTAAAATATAAGACCATTATACAACCCTAATGTGACAAGTTTAAATGAAATCGAGTACAATGTGTCTATTAGAAGCAATTCAGGTATGTAGGTATTCAGGTATGTAGGTAATTAGTTACTAAAGGATCAACTCTATTCAGTACTGACATGTTGCTGTTGAACTTACGGAGTAAGGCCACCTTCGAGGCCTGATAATCGTATCTAAGTTACAGAATTGTTTTGACAAAATTATGAAATAAATGAAAAAACTGTTTTAAAAAATTGTACTAAAATATTTTACAACTATTTTTTTTAAACAAAATTATTTATGCAACAAATGCCCTTATATTTGGGTTTAGGGCAAAAAATCGAAAATTTTCGTTATCTATATGACATTTACTATAGAAATATGTACATAAGGATTTTATAGTTCACTGACAAAATTTTTTGCTACAGACAATGTAAAAAAAAAAATGTTTCGGCTAAAACTAATATTCTATCTTCAAGTGTCCACCATTTTTACAAAAATCAAAATTGTGACAAATTCCTATGTACCTACATATTTCTGTAATAAATATCACATAGATAATGAAAATTTTCGTTTTTTTAAAGTAAAAGTAAATCATTTTGTTTAAAAAAAAATAGTTACTCATTTTTTGTATACACCATAAGGTAGGTATGTAGAATACACTCTTAAAACGGTTTTTTCATTTATTTCATAACTTCGTCAACAAAATTCTGAAACTTACATATGATTTTCGAACCTCCAAAAGTGGCCTAACCCATTACAACTGAAGACATTCGAAGAAACATTATAATAGTATCTAATAAAACTATACAAGAAAACGTATTTTTACGTAACCGGCGCAAAATGTGTAAAATAATAAAAATACTTTATACGAATGGTACATTTTTTTGTAAATTTAGTATTTAATGTGATTCGTCTGTGTTTCAGGCATTCAAACATTAAGATGTAGTGGAAATTTTACAAAATTCTAATTAATTCATCAGAGTGATGATTATACACTATAAAAAGAGAATAGCACGTAAATACATAAATACTCAGATGACTGAAATAATAGTACATTATTACTTAAAGAAAAACTGTTAAGACCGTTGTGTTTTGAAGAAAAGAACAAAGAGAAGGGAACATGTTTTACATATTTACTTGTTAGCATGTTTAATCTGTGACTTAAACAAGCATCCAAAATCTAAGCTATTAGATGTACCAATCAATATTCCACTATGCTTTATTAAATTCAATGTTTATTTTCGAAGAAACAAAACCTATGCCACTTCAATGATATTGGTCCTCGGCCTTCTATACTCGCCTTAATTTTGAAAGTTGAAAACGGCAGAAAGATGTTTCGAATTTAAATGATGTCACCTGTTTACGAAACATGAATAGTAGGTCACTTATCACTGCACCTACAGTATGTAACAATACCTTTTTCATCATCATTGTTCTACAAATAGTAGAAAGAGTGCATTGAGTCTGATAATTAACACACCTCTGTAATCGAGACATAATATTACCGCCCAAAAATTATAAAGACTATATCTACAAATACAATAAATTGAGCGTCCTTTTTCGCATACAGTTACACATATTTCGGAAGTCGTGTCCAAAAGCACTACATATCATGTACATACATATGAGTAGATTCTTTCAAAGAAAATAAAAACTTTGCATTATAAAATTAAAAATAGCGATAACAATTAAATGCAATAAATTTGTTATTCGAATTCATTGTCACTCGCATAAAAAATTATTGATTTGCTGTAGGTTAAATAGGCAACTGACCTTTGAGTACCATTTTGGCGCAGGCCAGTGGTGCGTAAGCCTGATGATTCCATGAATGATCAACGTCGAAGATGTGCGATAACGAGCTCAGAACTCTGTGCTGTTGGACGGTTCGTTCCCAGTCTTTCATATTGTTTAGAGTGCATTTGACAGGTTCGATGTTGTGTGCTTGTGGGTCGGTGTCGCATCCTGGATTCGTGAGGGAGGTACACATATAGCACCTGAAGTTTTCATCTGTAAAAGTAAAGCGAACCATTTTTAAGATCTTTTGAAATATTATTATCCGCTACAAAAAAACCATGCTTTCTTAATATAATATATTGTGTCTAATTATGTTTACTATATACAACAATATGTATTAATTATTCTGATTACAAGTGATGTTATAAGAAATTAACTTTGGGACATTTTATTTATTTGAAAAATTGCTTCCGTACTTTTGCACCTACACTATTAAAATTTATCTATAGTATTAGAAATAGTTTAAATAGTTAATTTTGTTTTATTTAGAATATTCTTTTCAGATTTTCTTCGTTTGTAATAGTTTATAAAACGAAGCTCCAATTACATTAAGGTATCGAGAAAACTAATTATTGCTTTACACAGCACTAACAAAAATTCTAAAGACTGAAGCATTTAAGTGATAAATAACGATCAACTTACAAATTGTGTCAGTGCAAAAGTTTTGATAGATTCTCAACAGATGATATAATCGACCTGATTTTGTGGAAACAATAAACAATTGTGTTAATATACTATGTTTCGATGTCAATCTAACGCAGTGAATTGTTTTGTAGAACAAATGTTGACCTGAATGAGTTTGTTTTATCGTGTAAAATAAAATTGAAATTAAACTTTTGAAGAAAATTGAAAATACAATAAATAAACCTTACAAACATTATAAAATAACATTTGTGATTTGTTTGGAGAAACTGTTGCGTAAATTCCACTCTGTGGTAAACTGCCAATTTGTTAATATACTTTAACTGTACAAATTCAGTAACAATTGTAGGTAATTCGCTGCAACAGTCACCTCAGCTATCTCTCCCAAAGTTCATTCAACCTTTCATTCCCAGAATCTTATGATACAACACAATTATATGCCGAACAATTGTTTGTTGAAATAAAAATTTCTATTGAAAATGCATGGGTACGTTATAAAAAAAATCATTAATGAAATTCATGAAATTATTATTAAATTATAATTAAAATTGTTATCAGTTTACTCTTTTAAAGCAAAACCCATCAAAACATTTGGACTCACTTAATATAACAATATTTTATCGCTTATTCTTGGTACATATATATTAAACGTATTATAAAAATTTTAATTATATATAAAATTCAAAAAATATATATGGATTTGTACCATCTAATATTAGAAGAAAGTAAAGAACATAAAGTATTGCAGCTACAGTAAAGATTACATCCTCGTGACCATAAAACCAACTTGGAAGCAAAAACATAGAATTAACGTCTGTAGAACACTCTTCGCAAAAAAGGCTTCTTGGAGAAAAGTAGGAGCCATTTTTCCAGATTATAGTCCATTTCAATTCAACGATTCTTTGTTTTCTGGAGGAAGTAAATAATCTGCTCCCTCTGGCGCCTGGTAGACGCTTTTACTACGTCAGATCCCTCTCGGCCATCACATAATTCTACGTAACCAATGGAGTTCGCTGTCGTTTCCCGAGAATCTTTATAATCGAGATTACATTTCCGCTATCCTTTCACATTTGTTTTATATTTAACGTAATCCAGTAAATCATGAAATTATTCCACTACTATTGTAACTGCCTCTTTCATAATAAAACATATTATAATTGACGAAGTGCCATTAATATTTTTGTAAGTAATACCCTTCGTACGGATCCATTAAAGGGCTTATTGAAACATTCACTAATTAACATATAATTTCTAAGAAAAATAGAATGTAATAAATTTATTAAGAATAATGTTTTTTGAAGGTTAAAAGATATGTATTATTATTTCTGTGAACTGTTAAAATCAAAAAGTAAATGAGAAATTTGTGTTAAAGCAGAAAAATATATTCATAACGAATTGAAGTACAATACTTTTAAATTGAGTGGGTTAATGTTTTTTAAAAGAAAATTAGTAAAAAAATCAATAGTAGATGGTAATAGAGATCACTCTAACATAATTTGGAATGGCGTAACAATGATTATTCCAAAATAAGATGTATCTGAAAGGTGTACAAATCTCACGTAACTTTTATTTCCAACATGAAAATAATGTAAATAAATAAAGTTATTACGAAACATTGGCACTCTTTCGATAGAAAATTGATAGCTTCGGAAAATGTAAATAAATGAATTTATAAATATAATCAACATCACATAATCGAAATAGAAGCATAATAGAATTTTAATAAAATATTCAGAGAATTTTCAAGCATACAAACAACTCTAGTATAATTTAATATTAAAAAGTATAACAGAAAGTTAATGTATACCTAACACAACACAATATACAAAATATTAACGTACAAGAATATAAATAACTATCTTATTTCCTGCACAATTTTATGTCTTATACACTTTATATGTATTTACAACAAACAGTTTGAAATTATAGTCAGTATTTCATATTTGAATTTAATAGAGTTAGTTCGCGAATATGTTTGCGGTATGGAATTGTTTTCAGAATTGTATAGCTTAAACGTCACGTGTATGAAGGATATTGTACATGTTTAAATTGCATATTCATCTTCCTAACGATTTCGATTACTGGTAGTTGAATATTTCCGTAAACTCACGTAGGTATGTAATCATTATTAATCATTAAAAATTAATTAATCACGAATTCATTAAGACCAGAAAAGATAATTTCATTTTCATTTTTCAGCTATATTTATTTAAAATATGTTTATGAATATTAACGACAATCTATTGGTAGGATATCTTTTTCGCTTGAGAATATGCTCCTAATGAGCATTCACAATAATGTTGACTATATTTTTTGGAGGCCTACTTGAATGAACGAAAATCTAAACGTACAAATACAGTGCACTCCCGCTCATAAGTATTTGGACACATACCAACTACAAAGTAAACGTGAACAGAAATTATTAAATTATAGAAGGTTCTGGGAAATCATTATATATGTTTATACGTTATATACTGTGTTTATAATAATATAAGACAGTAAATTTGTTACAAAGTACGTGTATACATATAGTTTTTAGGATATATTACATTTTTATTGATACACAGTGGATGTCCTAATATTTTGGTCATTAGATAATCTTTTCTCAAGAGGTTAACAATATTTCAATATGTTTTACTTGAATACTCTCCGTTTCAACGATTTTGATCGCTGGTAGTTGGATATTTCCGTAAACCCGTGTGTGTGTAGTCATTATTTGGGTCGCAGCGTCGTGGCGCCAAACGTCGCGACGCCACTCGCATCCCCCGAGATTCAGCCAGTCGCAGTTCAACAAACTGCAGTTAACCTACTATCCTTCTGTTTTGAAGCGACCCTCTATGTACCAAACATTCCGAAGAGTTATCAAATTTCAAATACTATCACATTGCGTGTGAATTTTTTCATCAAACATTTGATCGAAATATGTGTCTATTACATTCTTAAATAATTGTGTAATTTGTAATATTGACAGATTTAACATAACAAATGTTGTAAAATACATTGAATTAAATAATATTTTAGAATTTATGAATTCAAAAATAGGATTATTATAAAAATTGGAATTTTGTGTTGGATACGCTTGCAACTTTTTGGATAAGCTTTAGACCCGATTATAAATATATAAATATAAGAGAGTCATAAACTGTGTTAATTGTTGGGTTAACCGACTAACTAGCTAGGCGCGGATATTGGCGTTAATTTTTAACAATTCACCATTTCTTTGATCCGCCTTAATCACTTATATGTATTCACGGATAGATTCAAACAATGATATCACATCTTTCGCAATTAGAACTTCAATAGAGCTAAAAATTCATGCTTAAAAATCTTTAAATTAACCAAAATTGAAATCTGATCATATGAACTTGTAGAAGTGGTAATTAAATAAAGATATTAATAGCAATAACTGTTACGAATTTTGAAAGCTTCTGTGGACATATTAATATGTACAGATTTATTTTATCCATACGTAAAAGAAATTTGGTAAGATCTATAAATAAATATACATTTTTAATTGTTGTAAATAGAAAATAACTGTGACGTTAGAGATACATATGTATACATACGTATGTAGAGTATACTCGACTTAACGAAAGTAGTGGAACATTGAATAGGTCGGACGGTCAGCAAACTACATATAAGACTTTTCAGTAACCAAAGTTTCAAAAATAATAAACATAATAGATACAATAAACGTCAACAATGTGTACATACTTCAATTAATTTAAAATTAGTCCATTTCTATATTTAATTCATCCTATTACAATAGTTCATTTTAATATAAAGTAATATATTTAGCCCTATACAAATTGTTCAAAAAGATCTGTAACACTTCCTAATAACATATGGTATTTATGAAAATAAAAAAGGGTTTAATAAAATTAGATTCAAAAATCGTTTATTTTTTAAGTGTAATTCATTTAATAATAATGATACATAATGTAAACATTCACATAGCACTGGAATTAAGACAACTAATAGAGAAATTGCTTTGAAGAATAAAAGCCTGAGGATTTCAAGCAAATGCAACAATCTTTGTAAAGACATGCTGAAGTATGTATTGAAATGAATGACAAACATTTCAAACATTCGCTGATAAGATAATATTCGACTAACTAAAACTTCTTATAATTTCAAAAACAAGTATGAAGATGTTCATAGTTCATTTTCATAAGTATACTATACATGTAATAGTACTCAGTTTGACGGAACCTTCTTTCAACAGTTTGTTAATTACGTTTCTATCCTACACATAGATATTTCTCTAATGATGAAACAAGTAGATCTAAAATAACGTTTTTAACGAGTCATAGCTCATTAAAAATCATAGTCGTAGCTCATTATAAAACATCTTAGAGCCCGTATAAATATTTATCTTCAATGTCAAGTGGGTCACCGCAAAATATGGTGATCGTTACATTGAGAAACATGGACATTGATGTGTACATAGATTTTCCTAGATGGAACGTGAAACTTTTGTGCATGGTTTAAACACTAATCAATAGAACTACAGCAAAAAGAAGTAAAAATTATTATGTGGTTAGTATGTATTTTTTAATATATTTTTGAAAGAAGTCTTAGTTATTCTACACTTGCAAAGAAACTTCGGTAACTCAAAATTCTGATTTTTTAGAAACATTGCTGGTTTTTAAGGAATCTCGATGGAAGTATCAGGCAATTTAATTTTTTTACTAGTTTCTAGTTCTTCAGGGTGAAACACCCCTCAAGGGTTAATGTACGTTTTTGTCTTACCCTGTATATTTTGAAAACTGTACTAGAGATAAGAGAATTATTAGAGTGAAAATTTAATGACTTCTTATATTCTATAAAAATGTGATCTGACAAGAAGATTTGATGTTTCTTTGTTTAAACAAGAAATTTTTAACAATTTCATTGCACAGTTTTAGTAATCAACTAACAAGTTTTTCGTATCTACTATAATCTTCAAGATACATGTATAGGAAAATAAGAGAACATACCTTTAAAGGCTGTTTCACCCTGAAAAACCAAAAAGTAGCTCAAACAACTGCTTGACATTTCTATTGAGATCTACATACTTACAAACCCGCAAACTTAAAAAAAAATCAAAATTTTTGTAAGATTTATAATAATGTTACAGTCAGTAATAACAAAGGTAATCAGTAAAAACAATAATCCTGTTAAAAAATAAATTTCCTTTACTTTAAACATTTTGTTTACGAATTAATGATAACGTATTGTGCCATGAAGTAAATACGTAAGAACGCACTGACGCTTGCAAAGTTGCATAAAAATACATCAGGTAAATACAACGATACACCACTATCGTAATCTGATTCTTTAACAGTTACAGTCAAAGGGTTAAAGATCAGATCGTAAAAGACTTAATTTCTGCACAACTGTAAACCGAGACAGATGGCCTCAATCCAGGCGATCTCAAGCATTTCTCCTATAGTGTCTTATCTATCAAATATAAAAAATAGAAATTAATCGAGTAGGGTGGATGCACCGGTAAATGGAAACGTATCAGTGAATGAGTATTATATACAAAAAGGAGTAAATTAAATTATTAAAATAAGCAAACGATTAAAAATATTGATTTTCTTCAATACCTTGTTTGATACTCAAACAATTTTTCCGCCACTAGTTAGAAATGTTCATTTACTATCTATTATTTGTTCACTGGTGTACCCTGTATTTTTTCTTTTTAATTTAATTAACTTCATTTTTCCAATTTTACAAGTTGAAATCTATACGCTATAAAAAAAGGTACAAATATTGAAAAATCTAATTTTCATGTGCCAAATATTTATTAATATTATTATTATTTAAAATTCGTTTTTAACACTGGATCTTTCGACAATAAACGTATATCTACTTCTACCAGATAGATAAGCATGCCAAACTTTTGGAAATATTCAAATTTAAAAATTAACTATCTTCTTCACATTCATGTTGCCATAAAAATTGTAAAAAAATCTCAGAAAATAGAGTGTTCTAACATCTTAATCATCGTTATAAAAGTGTAGGTACTAACCACTTATTTTGACTGCTTTAGTAGTTCTAGTGTTAATAGCTATAAAATCTCTTAAGTGTTCATTCATGGGTGCGTACACCCTACATAATGCAAAATCAATTTAGTATCCACTATTTGTGCCACATTTAACGTACAGATAATCTATAAATTTACTGTAATAATTCGTTTATTGGTATTCTTGAACAAAAATTTGTTTTCAGAAAATCAAAACCCCATCGTCATTTTAGCATTATTTAATACATTTTTAAAAATACTTCTTCACATAAACAATGAACTAGTAGTCACATTAACACTCTTTTCTAATGTTTGGATGTCATTTAAGGAAATCTCGTATTGCCGATCGGCAAGAAATGTTCCAAATGTTGTCACTAAAGTGATAAAGTGGACGTTTACTGTTGTATACAAATGCAGTTAGCGAGTTAAATCAAAATCCGCATGTCTGGCTGCATACGCGCCTATACCACTGACGGCCAAACGAACCCTGAACCCCCGTCCACTCTAACAGAAACTTTTTTTCGCGCGTGTTCACCAGTGTGCTTCACCAATACTTTTGAAAAGTGTAAAAAAAAAAGAGGATATTCACCTGAACGAACCACCGAGACGAGCACGAGACCAACGATAATCACTGCGATCCTTCGATGCATGCCGGAAGTTCTCTGTTCGAGCGGATAGGTAACGTTTCTCTTGAAGAAACTCGGGCAAAATGGCACGCAAAACTGCGATATGCGTGACGGGAGGGTAAAGCACTGGTCTCCGGGAAGGGTTGTCGTCGAGTCGACAGCCTGATCGCGAGTAAGAGATTGCAGGATTCACCACTCGCCACGCCACTCCTCTCCTAGTTTTCTCGCCACTACTCCCCGCATCGCTCCACGCCAGCAAACCGCGCCACGGCTCGAATATTCGCACACCGCGCGCGTAGATTTCCGCCCGCTTCTGTGAATCTCTGCTGGATCGTTGGGCGTGGATCAACCTGACGCGCATTCACAGCCACCTCGATTTCAATAGTGCCATCCCTCCCTCTTTCCAACCCCTGTATACACATATATCGTGTTTATGTTTATGTTTATGTTTGCGTTTGGAAAAGCGTCGGTGAGAGAAACGGAATGACGCTGAGTTTCGAGGAGGAATTAAATTTTGTAATTGTGTCCATGGTGTGATTGGTGGGAGGGATCAAAGTTGCATGGTTTTTATTACGAGGTGATTCGATTCTCGTGGTTTGAACGTGCATCGAATTTTTTAGTACCGTTGGGAATGTTAGCATTGTTGACCTCGTAGATTCTGATGTCGTTTTGAATAACGATGTCCCGTTATTTTTAGATTTAGAAATTAAGCCTATGGCCCCCACTATTAATTATACAAGGGGGCAATCAATCTGTTACCAAGGATTTAACATTTGATTTTGAGCAATTTAGTACTCCTGATACTAGATATGCCATTATTTGTTCTTGATTGCCTCTTGTTTTTGAGATCAGCGTATGTCTTAAATATTTAATATTAGAATAGGCGACAGGATAATTACATAGAAAGTTTTAGAAAGTTATGAAGAAGAAATAGACAATCACTTCCATAAAATTCACTTCTGAAACAAAATAAAATCAGTTATTTTATTCCATATCTATTTTGGAAATCACTAACCCGAAAAAAAACGAATTTCACAAGAGGGTTTTGAGAAGAGATTAAGTAACAAAAAAGCAAAAGTAGTAGGTAGATACTTCAAATCAACACAAATGTGAAATTTCAACTGTTTAAATTATTTTAAAAATCGCAGCCAATTTACCCGAAACAAAAATGTAATGCGAATTCAAGATCCTCGACTAGTTTGAAACCGATCTTAAATCTCTGACAAAATGAATAAAATTTTTTGTCGACTCGCCCAACTGCCTGAGAAATGGCGTAAATGTGTAAAAAGTGATTGTATTTTATGTTTTCTTGTAAATAAACGACAAATCTGTCAAAAGAAGGTCACGACTTAACTTGTACACCTAGTAGAATGTTCGTCTGGAATTGATTAAGTCGGATGGGGGATTATCTGAGGATGAAGAGTTACGTTAGAGGTCAGACCAGTGTAACGATATGAAATGAAGCGTAATGTTGCAAATTATTTGTGCAAAGCTCAATCAACCGAATTTTTGGAAGCTTTGCGTATTTACTAAGGCACTGTTAAACTAATTAGCATTTCTTTTGTCTGTTGAAATGTATAAATTTACATGTCTCATTACAAAATTACATCTCCTCGAACCCAAGTCTGCAAAGAAAATCACCACAAGTGGCGTGCATGATCAGTGTTGCCAGATTGGGCGATTTATCACAGTTTAGGCCACTTTGATACTAAAATTGCAATTAATTTTCTGAAGAAACCGCAAGTCACAAATTGGACGATTCCCAATTTATATACACACATGATATATATTTTATATATATTTTTAATGTATCATACTAAGCAAGTACACTAATCTAAAAATCCAGCGTTAAAAGCACTTTCGAGTGTGTGTTATAAAGAGGCAAAATATCAAGTCGATTAGTTAATTATGTTTTAAGTTATCTTGTACGCCAATTTAAAAACAAGGATTCGAGAAAAAAGTGGTTAAAACATTCAAAAGTATGTATTATACATATTTATTCCGGACACCGTTCGCTTCAAAGTCACGTGCCAATCATTTTTAGGAATTTCAAATAAATATTTTAGAAACGTATTTCTAAGATTGTAATGTACTGAAAAATACGAAAAAATATTTTCTATGTTTGTTTCAGTTTTACACTGGTCTGACTCCTTAACGTAGATTGACCACTTTTACAATCACCGACGCAATCGTTATAATGTTGTTAATTTCTTTTTTCAGTATTAATTTTCTCAGGTAATTGTTTTTTAGTTTTGTATACGAACCGTGTTTCGCCATGCTTGTCTGCGCGATTTTTTAAACTCTCGCGATGGTATAATAGTAGATAATTAGGAGCAAAATTATGTCTAACTGGTAAAAGTTATACAATTAAAAGTTCTGAAAAATTGGATAGCATGAAAGATACAGGCTTTGTTTTAGTTCTTTGAGGTCTAATTTAATTACGGTATTTTAGATCGAAAATAACACCGAAAACACATTAATACTATAATCATAAATTACTCATACGTAAAAAATCGATTATAGGATTATCTAAAATGAAGTATAATGTTGTTATTATAATCGCATAAAGCAAGAAGAATGTAAATGACGAGACGCCTCTGAATTTATCAGAAAAGAAAGGAAACATAATTTCGAAACACTAATATTTTAAAACACTTTTTAAAATGATTTTATAGATTTCTAGGATATGTTATAAAGAGTTCCATGATCTTAATACCTATTTTAACCACAGTAGACTTCCAAATAATTACAGAAAATATATTTAAACTTAATTATGACAAATTCAATCTATCTTGTGTATTTTACATTGTCACGTAGAAAATGGTATCCCAGGTCGTACGCAGTTTGCATAATTTTTAACGTATGGGGGAATGTCGGTGCAAGCGTGTCTTAGATTTGGGCCCTCTGGTGGTAAAATGGAAAACTACTGACAGTAGGTCCTTCAAATTTATACATACATAGTTTTTTGAATCAGAAGCCTGTGATTTTAATTGAAAGAACAATGCGAGTTTCGATAAACGAAATTTGTAAATTCGCATGTGCAACACCGCAAAGCAAAAACGTTATTGGTGATGAAAGTATAATTAATCGTGGTCACCTGTTTCAATGTAGATGGCAATGATATTATTGAAATCATTGCGTTTTGCTTTTACACATCAAATTAAAAAAATGATCCATATGAAATTAGTAGTGAAATCTTAAAAGCTGGACGAATTATGGGTATGACTTATAACTAAGGTAAATTTGCGACACAACTTCCTACAAATCATAAATATTATGTTCAACTCTATCTATGATTATACTAATACTTGTTGGAATAAAATCATTTTTTGTAAAGTGTAATGAGCATACTCTCATACAACAATACATTCTAGCCTATTTTTTAAATTTTCATCCATGAACTGAAGCGGTTAATAATTTTTATTTGATTTTATTTATTTTTTATTTTCACCAAGTTTACTTTTGGTCGGGAAAGGTGATAAAAGCAAATAGTATCATTTTTACATGCACGACTGTTACAGCCATACACACAGCAATATTCCATGGTGTAACTTTTTATAATTGTTTAAATAATTATGACTGTTATTATAGCAATTAATTTAAAGGCATTAAATAACACAACAAATAAAACACGGGTATTTCTCAACCTGTGTATTTGAACAGTGTTGTTCATATGGATACTCGATCTACTCTCAGTAGTTTAATTTTCTGTCACTAGTTGGCGTATCGAAATTCTGCATTTCCCAATACACTTGTTGCGTCGCGTAAACACGAATGATGTAGCCTACAATGTTGCCTATTTAATTAAGTACATTATCTATAGAATGATTATTTAATTTTTATTATAATACCGTAAGAAATATACTGCGTAGAATTTGTTTTGGTATGAAATACACATGAAATTTCTCGAGAATGGCGTTGTAGCACCAAAAAGAAACCATAAAAATCATGGGAGTAACAATTGTCGTGAGGAGGAAATCGTGGATACATCGATGGACGTTAATTGTCCATTAGCTTAACTAAAGCCAGCAGCGTCCCTGACAAAACTAGCACACAGGTTACATTTTTAGGGTACGCAACGCCCGCAGTTACGCGCCCCCATAAACTTTTTGCTTTATAAGTATTCTTACACAGAGGAACTATCCGCAAAACTCATTGAAAATCCAAGTAAACAATTTTACAAGTTTCAATTGTGATAAGAGAGCAGTATCATTATTAATAATACTATCTTCCTAATAAGGAAACTTCGGTGACCCGAAAATTCCAATTGTTTTTGAAACTTTACAGGTTGTAGGGGACCTCAAGAGATGAACCAGGCAATTCTTGTTTTTGGCCCTTTTTCGATTCATCAAAAACACCTTTTGAATGTAGATAGTTGTCTCCCTATTTCCTGTATATCTTTCGAACTAAAGTAGATATAAAAAAATGGTTATAATAAAAATTGAATAGTTTTGTATGCTTTATAAAGTGATGTCATTAAATTGATAAGAATTTTTTATTCAAATAAAAAAATTCCCCACGAATCTGATTTTGATCAATTTTGAATTTTCTGCCACGTTGTTAACATATATATGTGTGTATTTTTCGATGTGATAAAAAATTAAAAATATTTTTGAATAACAGCGTTGCGGGATTTTATAATTAGGCACAGTTTTTATCAATTTCGTAGCATCGTTTTATAAAACATTTAAAATCATTTAATTTTTTATTGTACCCATTTTCTTTATATCTACTTACTTTTAAAGATATGCCGAGAAATAGGAAAACACCTATTTGCATTGAAGGGGTGTTTTCACCCCAAGGAACCGAAAATGGGCCAAAAACGAAAATTGCCCGACACTTCTCTAGCAGTCCCCTACAAACCTGCAAAGTTTCAAAACAATCGAAATTTTCGAATTACTGAAGTTCCCTCATAAGTAAAAAGGACAGTAACATTTTACATTTTATTCTGATAATTATAGTTATGTGGGATTCAAATTAAAATTGTACCGATGTAGAGATTCCGCTACAATTAAAGCGTGTAAAAGCCTTCTTATTATAAAAAATACATAGTTCATTTAATTGTAATAGAAGAATTGAATAAAATGAATCGTTTTCGTCTTCATAC